TTTTTTTTCTCATTGTTTTATTCAATTACTAATTTTGTATAATTTGCTAGAATGTATCACATAGATATTTTTCTTGCAGTGTTCATTTCCTGACATTTAGTGCTCTTTATAGAAGGGCAGATGCAATTTGAAGTAGCAGTTTAGTTCTCTGCAAAGGTACATTATTTTCTTATACTCATTAAGGATGTCAGCTATTGAAAAAGGCAGATGCTGGAGGAAATTTTTCTCTGATGAAGTTGTTTCTTAAAGTTAGAATTGTTTAAGATCCAGATTTATTGATAATCTTATTACTGTTTTTGGCTGGCCAGTATAGGGAACCAAACCCTTGACCTTGATATTATAACACAAGGCTCAGGTTTATTGATAATTTTAAGTTTATGTATAGTCCATTATATATGATGAAGCAGTAATACCACAGTGAACCAATTATTTCAGGTTTACTTGTGGCAGTGTAATATAATAGAAACATAGACTTACATATACACTCATAGACCTATGTTATGTATGTACACATGTGTGTATGTGCATGTATATGCATAAATAATAATATTCAGCCTTTAGAATAAGATGTCATGGGCAAGTTACCAGGAATTTATGAGCTTTACCTACAACACAGAAATAATATCAACTAGCAGAATTATTGTGAGGTTGAGTTCATGTATCTAAAGCCTTGGCTGGCCAGTTAGCTTAGTTGTTTAGAGTGCAGCTTTGTAACAACACCAAGGTCATGGATTCAGAACCCTCTGCCAGCCAGCCACCAAGAAAAAATAAATATATAAATAAAGCACTTAATCCAGTGTGTGGCAGTTGTAGATTTTCAGTAATTAATGGTGGGGGAGAAGGGTTGTTGTGGCTACTAGGTAATAGATTAACAGGTGGAAAAAACAAAATTGACAGTAAAGTAAGAAAATCATTCAGCTGGCCGGTTAGCTCAGTTGTTTGGAGAGTGGTCTTGTGACACCAAGGGCAAGGGTTCAGTTCCCCATACCAGCCAGTTGCAAAAAAAAAAAAAGAAAAAAGAAAAAATCATTAAAAGCATTGTTTGAAGCTGTTTAGCATAGGAGCAAATAATTATGCACTTCAGTGGCCTGAGAAGGTATTGGTACATTTCAACTAAGTATAATAATTAGTACTCATAATGCTAGCCTATCAAAAGTTAAAATTTCTATGCAATTCTAGATCCAGTAAATCAGCATATTTTATTTAAACTACTTAATGCCGGGGCCAGCCCGGTGGCGCACTTGGTAGAATGTGGCGCTTGGGAGTGCGGCGGTGCTCCCGCTGAGGGTTTGGATCCTATATAGAGACCGGTCCGCTCACTGGTTGAGCACGGTGCAGGTGCGACACCGAGGGTTGCGATCCCATTGCCGGTCGCAGTGCGGGCGCGACACTGAGGGTTGCGAT